GATGTCTGCCTTTTGTTGTTTACCCCAAAGTCATTCAGGAGCAAGTTGTTTAATTTCCATGTAATTGTGTGGTATTGAGAGATCTGCTTGGTATTGATTTCTGTTTTTATTCTATGGTCCAAGAGTATGGTTGATATAATTTTTATTTTTAAAAAATTTATCAAGACTTGCTTTATGATTGAGCATGTGGTCAATCTTAGAGTATGTTCTGTGTGCAGATTATAAGAAGCATATTCTGTGACTGATGTGTAGTGTATTCTATATATATCTATTAGTTCAATTGGTCAATTGTTGAGTTTGAGTCCAGAATTTCTTTGTTAATTTTCTGCCTTGATGAACTAATCCTGTCAGTGAGGTGTTGAAGTCCCCTACTACTATTGTGTGGCTAAGTTTTTTTGTAAGTGTAAAAGTACTTGTTTTATGAGTCTGGATGCTTCAGTGTTGGATACATATGTATATTTCGGATAGTTAAATCTTATTGAATATAACTCTTTATCATTATGTAATTACCTTCTTTGTATGTTTTTAACTGTTGTTGGTTTAAAGTCTATTTAATCTGATATAAGAATAGCCTTTTTTTTTTTTTTTTTCTTTTTCCATGGTAGATTTTTCTCCATCCCTTTGCTTGGAGCCTATGGGTGTCATTACATGTGAGATGGGCCTCTTGAAGACAATAGATGGATGGGTCTTGTTTCTTTATCCAGCTTGCCACTCTGCCTTGTAAGTGAGGCATTTAGACCATTTACATTCAAGGTTAATATTAATATGTGAAGTTTTGATCCTATTGTGAAGTTGTTAGCTGTTTGCTTTGTAGTTTCTATTTTTCTTTTTCTTTTTTTTTTTTTTTTTTTTTTTAAGATGGGGTTTCACCATGTTGTTCAGGCTGCTCTTGAACTCCCGACCTCAGGTGATCCGCCCGCCTTGGCCTCCAAAGTGCTTGGATTACAGGCGTGAGCCACCACGCCCGGCCTGTAGTTTCTATTGTTTTTTTTCTCTGTAGGGTCTGTGGACTATGTAATTAACTGTGTTTTTATGGTAGCAGGTATTATTCTTTTGTTTCCATGTTTAGGACTCCCTTATTGTAAGGCTGCTCTAGTGGTAACACATTCCTTTAGCATTTGCTTGTTTGGAAAAGATTTTATGTCTTCTTTGCTATGAAACTTAGTTTGGTAGGAGTTTCTTTAAGAATGCTGATAATAGGTCCCCAATCTCTCCTGGTTTGCAGGGTTTCTGCTGAGAAGTCCACTGTTAGCCTGTTGGGGTTCCTTTTGTACATAATCTGTCCTTTTTCTCTAGCTGCCTTTATGATTTTTTTTTCTTCAGCATTGACCCTGAACAGTATGGTGACTATATATAGTATCTTGCAGGTGTTCTCTGGATTTCTTGTTGGCAAGATTAGGAAAGTTTTCCTTCTCTCTCTTTCTTTCTTCCTTTCTTTTTTTTCTTTTCTCTTTTCCTTCCTTCCCTCCTTCCTTCCTTCCTTCCTTCCTTCCTTCCTTCCTTCCTTCCTTCCTTCCTTCCTTCCTCTCTCTCTCTCTCTTTTTCTTTCTTTGACATTTTTAATAAATTTGTTTATCCATATTCTAAGGACTAGGGGAGTTTTCTTGAATTATTGCCTAAGTATATTTTCCAAGTTGTTTCCTTTTCCTCCTTCTCTCCCAGGAATGCCAATAATTTGAGGGTTTGGTTACTTTACGTAATGCCATGTCTCAAAGAATTTACTTATTTTTCTTTCTTTCTTTCTTTCTTTTTTTTTTTGTCAGATTGGGTTAATTCAAAAGAGCAGCCTTGGAGTCCTGAAATTATTTCTTTTGCTTGGTCCAGTCCATTGATAAAGCTTTCAATTTTATTTTGAAATTCCTTAAGTGAGTGTTTTACTTCTAGAGGCTCTGATTTCTTTTTAAGATGTTTATTTCTTCATTTCCTGGATTGCTTTAGAAGTTTCTTTGTCTCAATTTTTAACTTTGTCTTGGATCTCTATGAGCTTCCTTGCAAACCATGCTTTGACTTTTTTTCTTTTCTTTCCTTCCTTCCTTCCTTCTTTATTCTTTTCTTTTCTTTTCTTTTCCCTCCCCTCCCCTCCCCTCCCCTTTCTTTCCCTCCCCTCCCCTCCCTTCCTTTTGATATAGAGTCTCACTCTGTTGCCCAGGCTACAGTGCAGTCATGTGATCTCAGCTTACTGCAACCTCCACCTCCCAGGTTCAAGCAATTATCCTGCCTCAGCTTCCTGAGTAGCTGGGATTACAGGCATGTGCCACCATGTCCAGCTAATTTTTATATTTTTAGTAGAGACAGGGTTTCACCATATTGGCCAGGCTGGTCTCGAACTCCCTACCTCAGGTGATCTGCCTGCCTCGGCCTCCCAAAGTGCTAGGATTATAGACATGAGCCACCAGACCTGGCCTATGATTTGAGTTCTTTATCTGTCATTTCTGAGTTTCTATTTTGGTTAGGGACCTTTGCTGGAGATCTAGTGCAATCCTTTGGTGGTGTCACTACCTTTAGCTTTTTCATGATGCCAGAGTTCTTGTGCTGGTTCCTTCTCATCTAGAGATACTGGTACTTCTGATTTTTTTAATTATTTTCATGCAGGTAGGATTTTTTTTCTTTTTCTTTCTTTCCCTATAGTAATAAATTATTCTTTATTTTTATTTTTCTTTCCTTTCCCTTTTCTCTGCTTGCCTAGGGGATGTGACTGTAGAGAATGCTTGGTAAGATCTTTTGGCTTTGCTTCTATAGCCCTATGCTGCTGCCACCACCACCTTCTTCTTCTCCTCCTCCTCTTCCTCTTTTTCTCCTTCTCCTTCTTCCTCTTTGTCTTTTCTTCCTTCTCCTTCCTTCACCTTCCTTCTCCTTCTTCTTCCTTCCCCTTCTTTCTTTCTTTTTTTTTTTTTTTGGAGACAGAGTCTCACTCTGTCACCCAGATTGGAGTATCGAGTACAGTGGCCCAGTCTCGGCTCACTACAACCTCCTCCTCCCAGGTTTAAGCAATTCTCCTGTCTCAGACTCCTGAGTAGCTAGGATTACAGGCACTTGCCATCATGCCTGGCTAATTTTTGTATTTTTAGTAGATACAAGGTTTCACCATGTTGGCTAGATTGGTCTCGAACTCTTGACCTCAAGTGATCTGTCTACCTCAGCCTCTCAAAGTGCTGGGATTACAGGCATGAGCCACCGCACCTGGCTACCCTATAAAACCTTCTTTCATGCAGGTTTTATATTGGGCTGTGAAGTTTGTCTTACAAGCCTACAGGTGGCCTGTAAGTTAAGAGCCAGCTACAGCCAGTTTTTTTTGGGTATATACTTGATCTTGTTTACTGGCAGAAGGTCTTTGTTGCTCCAGGCAATTAGCTGATTTGTAGAATGTATAGTGGTCTGCACTCCCTGCTCAGTCCTGGTGGTGACAGAGTTTGGAATGGCAGCAGTGGGAACCGCAAAGGGCAGAGGCAGACCTGGTAAATCTGCCTGCAGGTCCCCTGATGGTAAACATAAGCACTAGTGCCAAGGGAGAATCCAGTGGGTGACCATGAGGTACCCAAAGGTTTTCCTAGGTGTGGAGCTGGGAAACCTGCTCAGCTCCAAGTTCTTTTCATGAGGATGAGGGGATGGCTTAAGCTCCTAATCCAGGAGAGTGGGTGCCCCAGATGCCTGGAGGTCTTCCTGGATGTGGAGCAGAGAGGGTCTCGCTGCACTATGATCTATGTCCCGGAAGCATGGGGCAGCTTGGGCTGCTGAACCAGATGAGAGGGTTCTCTGAATGCCTGGAGGTCTGCCTGGTTGTGAGACAGAGAGGGCTTTCCCACATCAGACTCTCTGCACAGGAAGAGTGGGGCAGGTCAAGCTGCCAATCCAGGTGAGTGATGCTCCAAATGCCTGGGAATCTGCCTGGACATGGAGCGGAGTGGGCCCCCATGCACCAAGTGCTCTACACAGGAGTGGGGGGACAACTTAGGCTGCTGGACCAAGCATGTAGGTGCTCTAAATGCCTGGAGATCTTCCTGGGCATGTAACAAAGAGGGTCCTCCTGCACCAGGATCTCTGTACAGGAAGGGTGGGACAGCTCAGGCTGCTGAACCAGGCCAACATGTGTTCCAAATGCCTAGAGATCTCCCTAGGTGTGGAGCAGAGAGAGCCTTGCTGCACTACGATCTATGCCCAGGAAGGGTGGGATGGTTCAGGCTGCTGGTTCAGGTAAGCAGATATTCCAAATGCCTGGATTTCTGCCTGGGCTTGGAAGAGAGAGGGCCCTGCTGCACCATGATCTCAGGGGAGCAGGGTGGGGCACCTAGCAATGGCACATGCAGATCAGTTGCAGGTTTCCAACCTGGCCCTGGCTGCAAGTCTCACCACCTAGGAGAAACTGCAGCTGTAGCAGCTCTCTTCCCATGCCATTCTTGTGACAGGGTAGAGCACAATTCCAGCACCTACTGCTGAAGCACCTTCCACAGTTCTGGACGTGGAGGCCCCCTGTCCAACTCTGGAGCAGGTGCTCCAATTTTTGGCATGAGACTAAAATGCCTGTACAGCCATGCTGCAGGTGAACAAAGAAACTCTTTACTTTAAGTCCCACCTATTTATCTTTGTTTTTATTGCATTTGCTTTTGGTTTCTTGGTCATAAAGTCTTTGCCTAAGCCAATGTCTAGAAGGGTTTGTCTGATGTTATCTTCTGGAGTTTTTTGGATGAAACATTTTAAAAAGCCATCCAACAGAATGCATCCTCATCCCTAGAGGATGTACTTCTTGGTCCCTCAACTGCTTCTGATGTCTTTTCTCACCTAAAAAGGAAATAAAAATACAGTGTACAATACAAAGCTCAACATTGTAGGTAGAGACTGAAAGCCTGCGATTGTTAATGTTCTTTGCAACCAGTGAAGATGTTCTGGTGATGCTACTGTGCTGCTTACTGACCATGAGCACATTAGTTTTTCATTGTATTAATGATGTCATGTATTTTCCTGTTGAGTACTTATATGTGAATAAGTATAAGCAAATGATTGCTGTGCTTGCTTAGAAGCACATATGTTAGAACTGGAGAGATACAGAGAAGATTATCATGGCCTCTGCACAAGGATAAGTTTTATTTAAAAGACATAAAATTAAAAAAAAGAAAATGATTGCTTATTGGTAGCATATAAAGTCAGGAATGATGGCGATCCTTAACAACCACAGATTGTCCACATGGGTGGCTATGATAGTGATACCTTCTCTTTCTGATGGTTAAATTTACACAGTCTTTGTTTTATGCACAAAATTATTTTAAAATTGTATAAAATTACTTTTAGGTGATGTATATAAGTTATATATGGAATATAAATGAATTTCATGCTAAACCTGGGTCCCATCATAAGATATTTCATTATATATATGCAAATATTCCAAAGTCCAAAAAAATTCAAATTCCAAAACACTTGTGGTCCCAAGCATTTTGGATAAGAGATGCTCAACCTGTATTGGTATCTTTTAAAATAAGCCCTTATAATCAAGATAATGGTGGTAGAGAAACTCTCTGGAATAAATTGAATTTCATTTATTGTTTTAAAGTGACTGGCAATGATTAAAAAGGAGGAAAGGAAAGATGGAAAAAAGGAAGAAAAGAACCAAGAAAGAAAGAAGAAAAAGAAAGTGATATAAGTGCTCTTAATTTTCTATTTAACTCAAATATTTTGTGAAGAAGAGACAATTAAGCATCTGTAAAGTCTATGTGACATCTGTATTTGTGGTTTTATAAATTATGTGAATACATTAATAAATTCTAAGTTTCATTCAACATTACCAAAATATGGACTTCAAGGGACAACACAGTGAGACCCCATCTCTTAAAAAATGCTAGAAATAGTATCTTGTTTTTAAAACTGTTAGAGAAGAACTTCCTTAATCTGATAAAGAGCATCTACCAAAGCTCAGTAAATATCATATTTGATGGTAATATATTGAATGCTTTTCCACTTTGGTTGGGAACAAGGCAAAGATGACTTCCCACTTTTAGTCAGCATACTTTTAGAGGTCCTAATCATGGAAATAAGGCAAGAAAAACAAATGAAACACATAAGGAATGGGAAGGAAGAAGTAAAACCGTCTATTTTTGCAGAATACCCTGTTTACATAGAAATATCTTTAAAATCTTCAAATAAGCTCATAGAACTCCTAATGTGAATTTAGCAAGGTTACATGTTACAAGGTTAATATGCAAGTATCAATATTTTGTATATACTTGTAGCAAACAATGAAATTTAGCAAAAAAAAAAAAAAAAAGTTAAAATATTTCACAGTTGCATCAAAAACCTAAACTAATGAGGAATAAATTTAGCAGAAAACCTGTGATACCTCTATACTGAAAACTAAAAAAAATTGCTAGACAAAATGAAATAATACCTAAATAAATGGAGCAATGTATTATTTTCTTGGATTGACTGGAACATTTAATATTGTGAAAAATGTTACTTCTTCCCAAATTGATCTATAATCCAGTGCAATTACAGTCATAATTTCAACATGCTTTTTTTTTTTTTTTTGGTTGTTGAAATTTACAAGTTGATTCTAAACTTTATATGGAAATTAAAAGTACCTTGAATAAACAAAACAAACTTAAGAAAGAACAATGAAGTTGAGGAGCAAACAAACAATTGCTGATTTCAAGACTTACTACAAAGATATTATAATCAAGATATTTGATAGTGGTATAAGAATAGACAAATCAATGGAAAAGAATGGAGAGTCCAAAAATAGATACCTACTTATATGATCATTTGACTTTTTGACAAAGGCACCAAAGCAATCTATGGAAGAAGAAAATGGTGCTAGAATAATTGGATATTAATATGGAAAAGATTAACCTTGATCCCTACCTCACATGATACACAAGAATAAATTTGAGATGGATCATAGACCTAAGCAAAAAGCCAAAAGTATAAAGCTTTTACAGGAAAACACTGTATATCTTCATGACTTGGAGGTAGGCAAAAGTTTCCTAGAGAAGTCACAGAAGCAATATCTTAAAAAATAATTAATTAGATTTAAACAAAATAAAAAGAACTTCTGCTCTTCTAAAAGTACCTTAACAAAATGAATAGGCAGGCCAGGTGTGGTGGCTCACGTCTGTAATCCCAGCACTTTGGGAGGTCAGCGGTGCGAGGATCCTTTGAGTTCAGGAGTTCAAGACCAACCTGGGGAACATGGAAAAACCCCATCTCTACAAAAAATATAAAAACTTAGCTGGGTGTGGTGGTGCATGCATGTGGTCCCAGCTACTTGGGAGGCTTAGGTGAGAGGATTGCCTGAGTCCGGGAAGTCGAGGCTGCAGTGAGCCAAGATTGCACCACTGAGCTCCAGCCTGAATGACAGAATATGACCCTGTAAGAAAACAAGGTAGGGATTATAGGCATGAGACACCATGCCCAGCGCCTCCATGTTTTATGATTTTTTCTTGTGATATTAGTATTTTCAATGACTGAAACATTTGCTTTGCAGAATATTTCTCCCTCAATTTAGATTTGTCTGATAATTTCCTCATCAATAGATTTAGGACAAGCATTTCTGACAGGACTAGTACATGAGTAAGGCTGTTTGTCTCAGTACCTCAAATGAGGTTTTATTTATTTATTTATTTATTTATTTATTTATTTTCCCAGCACTTTGGGAGGCTGAGGTGGGCAGATCATGAGGTCAGAAGATCAAGACCATCCTGGCCAACATGGTGAAGCCCTGTCTCTACTAAAATACAAAAAAGAAAAAAAATTAGTCAGGCTTGGTGGCGCAAGCCTGTGGTCCCAGCTACTTGGGAGGCTGAGGCAGGGGAATCGCTTGAACTTGGGTGGCGGAGGTTGCAGTGAGCAGAGATTGTGCCACTGCACTCCAGCTTGGCAACAGAGTAAGACTTTGTCTAAAAAAAAAAAAAAAAAAAAACCATGGAGGAGGAATCATTCTACACCAAAGAAGAATAGAGACATGAGAGCTAAATACACTGTATAAACTTTGACTGGGTCCTGGATTTAGGAAATATAAACAATTCTAAACATTATGAACTATATGTTAGACAATAGTCTTTGTAAGTGTTAAATTCCATGAGGGTGATAAATTTGTGATTATGTAGGAGAATGCTGTTGTTAGGAGATTCATAATAAAATATTTATAAGTGGAAAAAAAAGAAAACAAGGAAGGAAGGGAGGGAAGGAGGGAGGGAGGATGGAGGGAGGGAGGGAGGGCAAGTAACAGACTGGGGGAAAATATTTATAAATAATATATTTCATGAAGGGATGGTGTCTATAATATACAAAAGAATTCCACAACTCAGTAATAGGAAGTCAACTCAATGAAAATTGGGTATAATTTTGAACATGCACATCTTTGAATGACTAGTCGTCACATGTAAAAATGCTCAACTTCATTAGTTATCAGATAAATGAAAAAACACAATGAAACATCACGTTACACACTCACTAGACTGATTAAAATGAAAAAGACTTTCAAAACCAAGTATGTTGAGAATGTGGAGCAACTAGAACTTTCATACATTGTTGCTGAGAATGTAAAATGTAAAATAGACTATGGAAAAAAGGTCTGGCGTTTTCTTATACAATTAAATATCTGTCTACCCTGTGACCCAATAGCCAAACTCCTAGCTATTTACCCGTAGAAGTGGGAAAAAAGTTCACACAAAGACTTGTACAAGAATGGTTAGGGCAGCTTTATTTTTAATAGCCAATAACTAGAAACAATTCAGGTATTCATCAACTGAAGGATAAGTAAACAAACTATGGCATGTTTATAAAGTTTAATACTACTCAAAAATGAAATGAGCATGTAACAACGTGGATGAATTTCAGAAACAGAGTGAGGTAAAGAAGCGTTATACAAAGGAATGTATACTCTATAATTTCATTTTTATGAGGTTTTAGAACAGATTTTATGATTTGCTTTGGGGATTATGGTAGGTATCTTTAACTTATGACAGTCTGGCTTCAGGTGATTTTATTCCACTTCTAGCATGGTATAGGAACTTACAGCATTGTGCTTTCATCTCTGCTCCCAGCCTTTGTGTTGTTGTTTTCATATATTTATACCATAAGTTATAAATCCCATGATATACTGTTATTATTTTTGCTTTAAATAGTTCATTATCTTTCTTACTTTTTAAAAAAATAATTAAAAATTAAAAATAGAAATGGGCATCTTGGTATATTGCTCAAGTTACTCTTGAACTCTTGGGCTCAAGTTATCCCTCCACCTCGGCCTCCCAAAGTGCCGAGATTACAAGTGTGAGCTGCTGACCCCTGCCAACAGCCCATTATCTTTTAAAGGGATTTCGTTAATAATAATAAAAAGTCTTGTATTTACTCTCTTAGTTACCATTTCTGGTGTTCTTCATGCCTTTGTGTATTCCAGGGTTTCATCTGATATTTTTCTACCTGAGGACTTCTTTTTAACATTTCTTGCACTTCTGGTCTTCTGGCGATGAATTCTCTCACCTTTTATATATCACAAAAATTCTGATTTTAAAAGATGTTTTTGCTCAGGATAGAATTCTAGATTAATACTTTTGTTTTGTTTTTCCTTTGAAGATGTTACTCCACCATCTTCTGACTTGCATTGTTTCCAGTGAGAAGTTGCCCCTATTCTTCTCTCCTCCCCTGTATGTAATATATCTTTTTTTTTCTTCACTGCTTTATAAGAGTTTTTTCTTTACCAGTTTAAAGCAGTTCTGTTATGATATGTCTTGGTGTAGTTTCCTTTATGCTTCTTATGCATGGGGCTTATTGCCCATCGTAGATCTGTAGGTTTATAATTTTCATCAAGTTCGAAAGTATTTTGACTGCTATTTCATTACGTATTTCTTTCTTTTTCCTCCCTTTCTCCTTTTTGGGGACTGAAATTACACATATGTTAGGCTGCTAACAACTCACCTATTTGCTCATTTTTTCTGCCTTTTTTTCCTCTCTGCTTCATTTTGGTTAGTTTCTATTTACTTATTAAATGTCTGTTTTCATGCTGCTGATAAAGACACACCTGAGACTGGGCAATTTACAAAAGATAGAGGTTTAATGGACTTACAGTTCTACATGACTGGGGAGGCTTCACAATCATGGCAGAAGGCAGGGAGGAGCAAGCC